TGCATAAGAAATTTCCCCTATATTTAATGGCATAGGGGCTAGAGAGATTCTTCGGTGTTTGAGAGCACTGGCTGCCTGTCCAGAGGCTCTGGGTTTGATTCCCAGCAGCCAAATGGCAGCTCACCAACTGTCTCTAATTCCAGTTCCATGTGGTGCACAGACATACATGCAGACAAAACATACAGATAAAATTAGGTAACAAATAAATAAATAATTTAATGAATGAATAAGTGCCATGGCTTAAAGAATCTTTTTTGTTTGTTTTTATTTTTTCTGTCTCATGAGTTCTCTAGACCAGGTATCTGGGAACAGCTTCTCTGGGCAGTTGTCTATGCAGAACTGTTAGCAGGATCTTGCTGGAGTCACCTGCTCTCTTGCTCGTAGGCTGTGGATAGGTTTAGCTCAAGAGCCCATCGAGGGCTGGAATCTGGCAGTTCAGCTTCTCAGTGAGTAGGCCTGTTGGCATGGGCTTTCTTATAGGACAGTAGTTTGTTCTAGAGCAAGATTCCTGGGTAAAGATAATGGCACTACTGATTCCTTATAGTCCGTATCTAGAAACAGGCACTTCTCTTGTTTAAGCAGCCACAAAGCTCAGAATTAAAGGCAGGAGATAAAGACTTAACCTCCTGAAAAAAATAAAAAGGATTCTCAAAGGATTTGGGAACCATATTTTAGAACACCTGCGTTAGGGAAATACCAACAACTGTGTCACTCAGAACAAGGGAGATGTCAGTGTCTTAGTATCAGTGTGTTCAACAAACTCAGAAGTTACGTATATGAAAGGATCCCCACAGCACACACCTCTAAATGCTAAGAATGAGAACAAAGGCTTTAAACAGGGGATGAGCTCTCTGTATGACTTGGGCAGACTGAGTAACCACACTAAGCCTTGGCTTCCCTCTTAGTAAGGTGAAGACACCAGCCACACCATCTTCATAGCGTCACACCGTGTAGTTTTCATACTACACCGTGTATATGTAAAAGGAAGAATGTTTATTCAGGACCGTCAGAGGAGAGATGGTCATTGGGAGCTGAAGTGCTGGAGAAGACTACTTGGTACAAGTCTATGTCCCATTTCCACCTCAGCACATGCACTGTGGCTTCCTGCCATGCCATGGTCCCTCCCACCAGGGACACCTTTCCAGCGTCATCTACGACTCACTGCAGTTCTGATGCTGTGGGTTGGCTTTCCTTACAGAAACTTCTGCAACACTCACTGTCCTCCCAACTCTTGCCTCCCTGTCTTCTTTTCTGACCGTCCTCACTCCTGCCTCAGAATTCGGTCCTCCCTCTGAGACTCTCTCCAGACCATCTCTACCCTTCCTCTGGATGGTCTTGCCCACACCCTCTCTGGTTAGGACTTGCAAATTTGTCTCCAGCCTGCTTTTGTGGTATCCATACTCATATTTCTAACTACTCCTTTCTATTCTCTCAGTAAATATGTGTAGAGGGCCCATCCATGTGCTGAGGATAGACATGATCTCTGCCTTTGTAGAGCTTCCGCATCAGGCAAGGAGACCAAATCAAGTAGCCAGTCCATCTTTAAAACCCAGTCACAGAGAAAGAAAGGCTGCAGTGGGGAAGATATCCATTTGAGAGGCTGGCGTCATTCTTCTCCACAGTCAGAAAGCTATGGAGGATTCTGCTGGCTGAGTGGACAGGAAGCAAGGGAAGAGGAGGAGGGGCCTTGGCTGATTCCTGGCAGAGGGGGCAGATGGGCCTGAAGCTTGAGCCAGGAAAGCGTAGGAAGAGTGGGAAGAGCAGAGAGAAGGCTGGTGGAACAAGTGGGCTGCAGGAAAGTCAGGGAGGGAGGAGTGATGGATGAGACTGGAGACAAGAAAAGGCTTTGAGGCTCTGTGGACGTGAGAAGGGCACCGTCACATTTTCACTTCTAAAAGATTCCACTTCTGTGGAGAAAAGAGGTGAATCTGGAATTTGAGTTAGGAGATTATGAGTGTCCAGGTGGGTGATGGCTACAGTTTAGACTAAGATTATGACAGAAGAATTAAAGAGAAGTGGCCAGGCTATAACGGCAGTTAGAAGCTAAGACCTCCAGGATTTAATGATGGATATCATGAAGGGATGAGGAGGACGGGGCTTGCAAGATGACGACTGGATTTCTGGATGGGAGACTTGGAGGTGGGACAGAAAGCAAAATGTTGGCTGTTTTGCAGGAGAGGGGTCTCTGAATAAGGAAATGATTTTGAGAGACATGTCTGGAAAGGCGGAACAAGGAATTGAGTGTGCAAAGCTCAGGAGACTCCAGAATGAATATATCAGCAACAGAGAAGATGGTTTAGGAAACAATCAAGAGTGACAAAGGGACAGGACTCCGAGAAGTCCAGTATATAAAGGTCAGCAGGAGAACTACAAGAGGTGACCAGAGGGTAGCGGTAAATGAGAGTAGGGACTTAAAGAAGGAGAGGAATCTAAGAAAGCACTATAGAAAGGTCAATAAACAAGGAAAATGTCCTACAGATTTAGTGAAATCAGAGGTCATTGAGGAGACCATCTTGACATCATGCTAGAGCAGAGTTGACTAAAGAGTGAGGGGAAAAGGATGAAATGGAGGACAGAAAATTTGGAAGGAGAAAGTTGGGGCGACTTTTAAAGGAGATATTTGAACATGCTTCAAAGATGTGGGGAAAGACCCAGTGGCAAGGGAGAGGTTGATGAGCCAGGAGACTCTAGGATGGCTAATGTTGACTGAGACGGTCAAGAAGATGTAGGCTTGGGGTTAAGCAGGGCTTGGATTCTAACAGCAGGGGAGGTTCCCCTGCTCTCACGGGGATTGGAGGGAGGGAAAGAGTGCAGCTTCTCAGGCAGGTAGGTGCAGGAGGGGCTGTCACAACTGCTCAACTGGAAGAGCTTCTGAGGACAGAAGCAGTTTCTGAAAGACAAGGGAGGATATGGACAGGTAAGAAAAGTGGTTGATAGAAAGTTGGGGATAGTCTTGGCTAGAGAGATGAATCGATGGATCATAAAGCTACATGGGGCCATTGGGATGCAACAAGCCCATTCAAGGCTGGTGAGCATGAAGGCAGAGAGAGATGGGTTCATACTGTGATTTTTTTTTTCTTTCCAGAGAACTTTGCGTGAAGAAACCAGGTATTGTGTTTGCTCAACATTAGGTCTGTCACCAAGCGGACATGATGATACAAGGGCCTTCATGCCCAATAGACATGTGGTTCTCAGCATGCCTCACAGCTAGAATGTCTTTACCTTCTTTCCCAAATCTCTTTCTAGTTTTTGTTTTGTTTTAGTGACAATAACGATCACCTAATAACAGTATTTATCAAGTGCATGTGATATCAGATAACTTAAAATAATCATATCATGTGATCATCACAACCACTGCATAGGGTATATATTTTCTTACAGTATGCGCCATTTTATAGATGTGGAAACTGAGGCTCAATAGGTTGTAGATCTTACTTGAGGTATGTAACAACGACCTAGATAAAAACCTTAGGTTCATCAGATGCAAAAGTTCTTTCCTGTCACTACACCAACTCTAAAGACCCCTTTCCTTAGGCCACCTTTATCTGATGTTTTCCTTCCTCTTGCCCCCTCACACGTCACTGCATTTGTTCACTCTGTCACGTCTCTTACATCACTTGCTTCTTCCTTCCACGTACCTCCATCCTGCCGATTTCCTGGTTAGGTCCGCCGGAACACAAGGGCAGGGATCATGACGGGTCTTGTCTGTTCTGTCCTCAGGTCTGCAACACTGCCCAGCAAACAATAGGCTGGCTGAATGATCATTCTCGGTGGGCGTCTCGCATTTCCGGATGTCTCGTGGGCCAAGGAACTGATGGCTTTTTGTTCCAATCTGGTTCGGTAGATCTTTGCCTAGTGAACTGGTGGATCTTTGCACAGTGAACTGCTCCGGAGGGCTCTTTTGTTTGCTGTCCATTGGGGCAAATCACCAGCAGGTTTTCTTGGAGTCCATTATAAAACGTTAGGCTTTCCTAAACTGGAGGCTCCTCCCTTAGGACTTGAGGCTTGAGAGAAACCGATCTGGATATGAAGCATGTGCCATGTGCTGTGACACATGTAACACAAATCCTTTGTCTCTGGATCTGGGGTTTTGTGTCAGTATCCAGCTAGTTGGGCAGTGATACTGTAAGCACAACATCTCCGACTCCTCAGAGTTCTCCCTTCTAGTCTTCATCAATTTTCTCCAGGTTAGTTAAGACCATCTCACCTCCTCCATCCCTCCCAAACAGGTACCTGCCTGTGATATACCAAAGGTCCCCTAGAACAGAGACAATCATTTCAGATTTTCCCAAACAGAACTTCCAGCCAGGCAGGTCCTATCACCACGTCTAACTTCACCCCTCATCATCCCCTAGCCCTGCTCCAGCTCAGGCAACCACTTGTTTGCACATACTCTTTTGCGTTTGCTCTGGGCACACTGTCCCCTCCACAATGGCTGCCTTTTCCCGATCTATATCTATATCATCTATAATCTCCTTTGGGGCCAGCATCCTTCAACACCTTTTTGATACCCAGTCATAATTTCCCTCTCTCTCATTGCCCCCACTTTACTCATTTGTCGAGGTTCTGGGAAACCGAGGTGTTCAGGCTGGTAGGATGGAAGAGTGACAGAGGGGAAGGGTAGCCCAAAGGTAGGAACAGAGGAAGCATCCACAGGGGGATGGAAAGAATAACCACCAAGTGGGATTAGATTCCTCAAAGAGGGTCAAACGGAGGTGGAGTCTATAAACACAGATAAGGTCCAGGGCTCAGAAGGCCTTTGGCCGTGGGGGCCCATTTTCCGGGGAGCAAATGCCCTAATGAGAGTCTTCAGGTCTCAAGAGGCCGCGCTCCGCAACCCCTCCTCTGCTCCCTGCCCACCCCTCCGCCTGTGTCGGCCATCAGAGCCTCGCACGCAGCCAGGAAACCTGGCATTGACGCGGGCCCGCGCGTGAGTCAAGCCTGCGTCACGGCGCCCCGCCGCCAGGGTGGCCTTTCGGAAAGCGAGGGAACGGTGCGCGCCGCGCTCCGCCCAGCTCCGTTCCGCTCCGCAGAGCCGACGCGGACAGGGCGCGGGGAGGGCGGCACTCGGCCGGGGCCTTCGCACCACGCGCTCCCTCCGCGGCGAGACCTGGGCCCCGGGGCGGCTCCCCAGAGCCCCGGAGCGGGCGAAGGGAGGGAGCAGGCTCGGGACTGGAGGCGAGGGAGGGAGCGAGGAGCCGGCCTGGGTCGCGTGCACCGGCGCGCTCAGCTCCGGGTCCCCACCCCCCCCCAGCCCCGGCAGGGGCCTGTCGCCGCCTGCCTCCACTTGCCCTCGGGAAGGACGGTACACCCGCGACCCGTCGGGGGACCACGGCCACTCCGCGGGAATCCAGGGGCAGGGTCCACGCGACGGCTCACGCGGCACAGGTGAGTCGCCGTCCGCTCCCCGTCTAGCGTCTCCGGGCTAGCCTCCGCAACTTTGCTCGCTGCGGCCCCGCCCCAGCCTGGAAGGCCGGAGGGCCACCGGGCAAGGCGGCGCTCCTCCGGGTCCGCACGACCCTGCGCAAGAGCCGGAGGCTCCTCCCGGCGCTCCAGCCACCGTTGCCTGGCGACGGAGCCCCCGGTCGGCGACGATCTGGCGCATCAAGGGTGCTAGGCAGCTCCTGCACAGGTTGGACTTGAGCTTGGGCTTCTGGAGCTCAGGATGCCCCAGAACTCCCGAGGTAACAGGACAGCTGCAGAGGCGAGCGCCGGCGGAGGACCAGGGAGGCCAGCTCGGTGGGTTCCTTTGCTTGGAGCGCCCCCAGGGCGCAGCTCCACGGGGAGGCTCCGGCGCGGCTGGCGACCCCAGCCTCAGTCACTCGGCCTCGGCCCGTGACCTTGACGGTAACATTGGCTGGAGAAGCAGAACGTCCGCGCCCGAGATGAATACTGAATTCTCCGCCCTGGGGCTGCTGCTCAGTGAATTTGGAGCTAGAGTGGAAGAGCCCTTCCTCCCTCGAGGGAAGCACGTCTGGGGACCGGAAGGCTGAGATAGGAGACGTGCACTGGGGGCCACAGTCTAGAGGGGCCCGCTGTCTGGAGAGAGGCCTTCGCCACATTTATACCTGTGCAGACAGTGCTCAGAGGGATGTTCGCAGTTCGCCCCCAGGGGCGCGGCTGCCTTGGAAGGGAGCCTGATGCTTCAATTCTTTCTGAAGCCCAACGAGCTCTGTCAGGGCTATGAGTTCAGAAGTTATGAGGCTACTCAGGACCCAGTTGCTGTCAACTGGGCTTTTATTCTTTGAAAATTTCCCTCCCTCCCTTTCTCCCTCCCTCTGTTCACCTTCTCCCCCTCCCTCCGTCTCTTCTGCCTCCCTTCTCTCCTTCTCTCCCATCCTTCCTCTCTCCCTCTTTAGAAATAGTTTAATGGGCCATGTGGATTAGGAAATGTCTAAGTAGAGCTACTTTGGAAGGCAGTCCAGCTGTGAACAAGAGGCACACTGGGTCGGGATGAGGAAGAAAGATTGCCATTGCTCCTGTTAGCAGGAACTTCCGGGAATTGAGAAAATCCTGGGCCGGCTCTATAAAAAATTGCACAAAACTTTATTATCTGTCAAGCTTTGGTGGGCTTCATACTGGGTGGCGCTTAAGCACTTTGTGCCTTCCAGAGTTCTCACATTATACCATGGCCGGTAAAGTAGGTCCATCTCCTGGGAGAGAAGGACTTTCAGGTCACACCTGGTTGCCCTTGGCTATGGGCAAGGCCATCAGAGGTTGTAGCTCCTGCGGTCCCTTTTCTCTAATAGAGCAGCCGTGGCTCGGTAGGTGGTTGAGTTGAATAGAGAATTTCTGCAGCTTGGCTACAGTGACTCAGTGCAGGAGGTGAGTCGTGCCCACCAGCTCTGATTGCAGTCTGCTTAGCCTGCGTCACACGGAGTCGTGTGTCAGCTATTTGTGAGTTCCTTGGAGTTCTTTAGCAGGGCTCGTGAGCTGGAATAGCCCGGGCTCCAAGCGGTGTAGGGGTGGGCAAGCCTTCAGAGTAATCTCAGCTTGCTTTCTGTTAACAAGGGCCTGTTGAACTCTGTCCCCGTGGAGATTGTAAGCTAGCAGGACCGGGCTGCAGAGGAGGTCCTGTTCTGGTGGTCACAGTCTGGCCTAGTGCTCCATCACCTGCCAGCACTGTGACCTTGGGCAAGTCAAGGCATCGTGGAACATCTGTTTCCAAGCTTGTTCAGGAGGATGCTGTTGGTACCATTTTTGTTACTTTGTGACCAGTGCTAGACAGAGCAGGGGCCATCCAGATGTTGGGTTCCCACCTCTTCCCTTATGGATCACAGCCAGAGAAGATTTTCCCCCTCTCTCTGCTGTGCTCCTGAGCATGATGGTGTGTGTGTGTGTGTGTGTGTGTGTGTGTGTGTGTGTGTGTGTGTGTGTGACAGTAGCCAGATCCTGCATAGCTGAACCCACAACTCAGCTTTAAATGGACCCAATTCCAACTTTCAAGTCTCCTCTGCATGGGGAGCTGCAACAGGAACGAGGCTAGTATGAGGTAAGTAGTATGACCACCTACAAAAGCTCCAACGGAGAAGCCTGGCCTCACTGGCATTCTTTGTGGCAGCGGCCTGTTCCCAAGCTGGGGCACAGGCCCAGCTGAGTAGATTCCAGAGGTTCTTTCTCCTTGAGTGGGTCTTGCCGTCTCCCTACCTGCATGCCCTATCTATAACAGAGCTGGAAGCTTCAGAAGAAATGCTCAGCAGAACTGGTGCTGCCTTTTCCTAGCGAGGAAAGAGAAGCATGTGTCTTCCACTTTCTTAGGGGGACTCTGAACTTCTTGCTCTTTCCCTTTAGAAAGTGTCCTGACCTAGGGCGGACCTCAGATGCATTCACATCAAGAGTGAAAAACATATCTTCCTACCCCCAAAGTAGCAAGTAAAGGTCCAGGTGTACCCATGGGACCCCAGTTGGCTACTGGAAGTGAGTGTTTTCATTGTATGTTCACTCTGAAGTCAGTGCCTTCCCTATTTTGTCTGGAACCATATTCCAAGGCTGATAGAAACTGACATGAGAGGATTCCAGGGCAGCAGCCTCCTTCCTGGTGCTCTTCCCTCCCCTCAAACTCTCCTGCAGTAGGACCATTCATCATTACTCCCTTTAAAACCGCTCAGATAAGCAGCAGAAGAGTTTTAAAAAGAAGGTTGATTGGAGGCCCTAACCCTCCACCCCTCTCCGCAGACAAAGTCTAACTCATCACTGGCTTCCAGGCTATGCTGCAGGAAATCCTGATGGCCAAATAGCTGAGAACCAGGGTGGGGAAAACAAAACAAAACAAAACAAAAATACCCAAAAACCTTTGCATCTCAGAACCTATGCCAGCCTCTTCTGATCAGCATCCTAGGCTGCCAGAGATAGGAAGCACAATCCTGAATTGCTGGTGTATTGTCCCAGACATAAGGGAGACAGTGTTGTGAGGCAAATGCCTCCTGTCTTCCATGCCCCTTCTGTACCTCCCCTCCCCTCCCTTCCCTTCTGCTCTTCTACCCCTCTTTTTCTCAGATAGTGTCTCAGGTGGCCCAGGCTGGCCCTCCACTCACCATGGAGCTGCCAGTGACCTTGAACTCCGGACCCCTCTGTCTCCCTCAAGCCAGGCTTGCACATGTACTGTAGCACTCACATGCTCTTTAGCAGGGAAAAGCAAAGTTCTGGACTGCAGCGCTCCATGTTGCGGCTGGCACGCACAGAAAATACCCCGTTTTTTATTGAGGCCTCTGTGCTGTGCTAAGTGCTCTCTTTGCAGGCCGTCCTATTCAATCATCCCCGGCGATCCCAGGAGATAGATATTGCGATCTGTTAGTTCACAGATGTGGATTTTGAGGTTCAGAGAGGTTAACTAATTTGCTCAAGGTCACTCAGATTAGTGAGTGACAACCTGAGACTCGGTGCTTGCTTCTGTCAGACTTCAAATTTTGTGTTCTTAACCAGTGTGTGGTGTGCTTCCAATAACAAGTTCTTAATAAATGTGGCTGACAGTGGAGGCATTCATCAAAATGAAGGTTTATTAAAATCTGTGGGCTCTGCTCCTCAAACTAGCGCCCTGGGAAAAAGAGAATTAAATCTCTACAAGTGGGAAACTGATAGAAAATGACCAGACCCATACTGCCAAGGTTTAAGGAATCTGACATTTGGTTCCAGACGAGTTAGAATCCAGAAAAAGACCCCAGGCTCTATCTTGGTGCTCTGCTCCTTTCTTTCTCTTCCTGACTTTACTGCTCCATATTTCACTCCCCTAAAGTTTGTCCACTCAGGGCTGGTGCGTGGAGCCTGGATGTATGAAGCCGAGCAGGTTGGATGCTGCCCCGAGAATCTCTGTGTCTGCAGAGTCAAGGACAGCAGGAGCTGATGGGAGCTCTGGTGTGTCGGGTTTCCCTGATGGACAGTACGTGCCAAGGATTTGCAGTCTCTGATGAGGCCCAGACCCCAGAGCCAAACTACTGGCACAACAAGCTTATTTACTGCAGCTGTTGTCAGGGGCTGGTGAGGGGGGTACTGCTGGCTTTCTACCCATGGAGACTCGCCTCTTCTGAGGCCTCTACTACTTGCGTCCTTGACTGCTCTAGGAAAATAGGCACCTGGTTCCTCCTCCCTATCTGTCTCTTCTCTCTCTCTCTGAGAAATTGCCATTTCCAGAGGAACAGGCTCATACTGTCCTAGCTGGCTTCCCATCCCCAAACCACCAGAGACCTCAAAGGAGAAGTTTCTGTAAGCAAGGCTAGATAAGTGAAATGTAAGTATTAATGGTTCCCTGCCCAAGCAGACAGAAGTTACCCAGAAGCCTTTGCTTCAGGGGCAGCCATTTTGTGAAGATGCAATCTACTGGTAATTCTTTTTTCTCTCCTTCTTTCCATGAGTAATTAAAAATACATGTATTAAGACATCCATCAATGTGCAAATCCAGTTATTTAAAAACACATAATTAGATATTCACTGTGCACAGACAGCTCATATGTGAGAAAGGAAGTATGAAAAGCTCAGAATTATTACTGAGTCACTAAAGTATTCTTATCTCAGAACCAGGTATGTTTTGTTAGAGAATATTTCCGGGTCCTGTAAGTCTTAGGCTGCCTCAGTCTACAGTTTGGAATTGAGGTGTAAAGACTTGTTTCTTCTGTAGTTCTTGAGGCATACTAAGGGCCAGGGGTACCCCAGACCTCAGCCTTGGCACAGTGTTCTAGAGCTCATCCTATAGTTCATCTGAAGATAGCAAGTGGCCTAACCCCACCCCATCATGTATACCTCCTGGTTTAACTAGAATTTCTTATGTACTACTTACTAATTTGTCACCCATTCCTTTGTTTGCAAACAGAAGTACTCGGTCCATTCTCCCCAGATTCTGTTGATTATATTTTTCTCTGTATAGGACTTGCAGACCTGTGTGGTTTAAGGACCCA